ACCAATAACAGATAATTTAAAAACAAGAACCATTGATACTGAAATGACAAGGACATCATCTGAATAGTCATCCACCAGGTTCCATCTTCTTCACTGCAAAAAAAATTTCCAACATCCGAAAGTTAGATTTCATGTCATGCCATTAATTACGATAATATAAAAACATGTTGCGGAAATTATTTAGTACAATGGTGTCTGGCAGACACCACTGGGTTGTGTATTTATGGGGAACATGGACATAGATGAGGTCTATTCCAACTCATGATGAACGTTCCTGCTTTTGCAAGAACTCAAGAGTGAATTGGATCAGTATCTTAATTGAGTTCAAATATATAAACCAACCTCTGCATCTTCAACTGCAGCAGGCTTCCCATTACTCTCCTTGATAGCATCATCTGTTGAGAATTGGGGTCAAAACATTATAGAGCATTTTAGACTCAAATGGATGAAACCCATCAAAGATCAAACAAATACTGATGCAAAACTTGAAATAATCATTTTGGTATTTAATATACAAAAAATTCAAGATCAAAGATGAGCTTTTACTGCAATAATGAAAAAGCTTTTACATGAAGATGAAAAAAAGTTGCATCAAGAGCTTAGATTATTTGTGCTGCCTAGGAATGCCTCGTAGACATAACATGCCATGAAACTCATACCAAGAAATAAATCCTGTGTCCAATATAACAAACAATCATTGTGCTTCAGGAGTCAATACGCTTAACGTAAAAGATGTAAAAGGTTTCTTTTCATACCTTTTCTTTAAATTTATACACGCATAGCATAGATCCTAAAGGAAGAAGCATCATTAAAATGGAAATGCTACACCTTCGTTATATATGTAGTTCTGGTTGATGATATTATATATGTGCAGTATTTGTTATTCCACCTCCAGAGAACATCAAGCAAATGAACTGATCATCCAAGACCTTGTTATTAACTTACAGGGTAGCGGATAGCATGAAACATCCAGAAAAGGAAGATCAGATCACAGTTACACAGAGAAAGAGCATATCACATCAAAAGAGGGACAGTTAACATATATTTTCTTAGGAGAAAACATGGGAGAAAAATCCAGCCTTCCCTTATCAGCCGCATATTCATTATTTTGAGATGAACAAGAAAGGAAAGCTCTGAAATAGTTAATTCAATTGTAAATTCATTATTTCTTTCTTCTTGATGGTTCATATGAGTTAACCAAGTTGGAGTCTTCTAGAATGTCATAATCATGATAAATTAATTAAAAATCTTGAGTTTGCTGGTCAAATGGCATTAACTATCCTGCTGATTATTTCGTCCTAGTCCTCCCTCCCTCTGATCTGCTTTCCATGGCCTTTGCTCTCTACATGTTGCCCTATGTCATGTTATGACTACAATGACTATGACCCTAAACGATGCAGAAAATCAAATAAACTATGTTGAGACTTAAAGGCCCGCTTCCATGAACCATAGATCAACTCCTCTTAAGTAGAATAGAAGGTCCCTTTCGTGCATCAGTATATAGTTTGAATAAATCATTAAAAGAACACACACCAGAAGACTTGAAAGTTCAATGCAAGCACCGGACATTGTTTTAGAATGTAAATCTCTTAAAAAGAAAGAGTAGGGTCCGAATTTCAAAAGTCAAACAAATAGCAACTGTACTCCATATATATTGATTTGCACACCAGAATATAATGATTTGAAACCAATGCTTTTAGACTGATATGCTTTTAGAATAATATCATTTGATGCTTAAGGACAAAAATAGAAAGTTATGATGACTTGAACCTATATCAAGTTTTTACATGCCTAGTAGAAATTTTTACCTAGAATGCAAATAGTTGAGCAACTAGCAACAGCCAAACATACCAACATGTTCTTGAGCCACAAAGTTAAGAGATACTGAATCCAAGAAGCATATTTTGACCATAAAGGACAAATGCGAAACAGTATACCAATACCTTTTATAGTTTATGTTGAAAGATACGAAAGACGTCAAAATAAAACTCTGGAAATAGCAGTGATACTACTAGTATAGTAAAAATCTATACATATACATGGAGCTTTGCTTCCAAATATGGCACAACAATAATCTAAAGAAAGCTAATCAGGAAAGCATTCTCTCTCAGATATCAGAAAATTTTCCTTTGCATTAGGTTTATTATTACCTCCATCATCTGGGATGTCAGAAGTCCATAGGGTAAGGTTATCCCTCAACAGTTGCATGATCAAAGTACTGTCCTTATATGATTCTTCACTCAGTGTGTCAAGCTCAGAAATAGCTTCATCAAAAGATTGTTTTGCAAGGTGGCAAGCCCTGAGTATAGACAAGTTCTTTAGAAAGGAGGAGAAAATCTCAGAAAATGGACATACATCTGATTCACTGTATAGTAGAATGTATGCCATACCGTTCAGGTGAATTCATGATCTCATAATAAAATACAGAGAAATTCAATGCTAATCCCAATCGAATTGGATGAGTAGGAGGCAGATCAGCCTCAGCTGTACTCGTAGCTGCCTGCAAACACATAGAGCTAATACTTCAGTAAAAAGAAGCAAGCATATTAGAGCAACATCAAATTCACTGGAGATAGCAATGTTAATCCAAGAAGTCCACGAAACATGAAAACATTTTCTCCTGAAAATCAAGAAGCAAAGACTACACATCAAACAAGACTGCAAAAAGCATGATCCACAAACATCCTAAGTGCAATTCAAGAATCACAAAGCCACTTTATAGATGGGGTGGTCGTGTTTACAAATGTACTGTGCAAACTATAACATAAAACAGATAAACCTCCAGCAGCTAAAAATTGCCAATATGAGCTTGAGTCAAAACCAAGTGACTGTTTTAACTACAGATCAATTATCAAATTTGAAGCTCACAAAATTTGCACTGTGCTACTTAGCTACATAAAAGGGACAGGTACCAAGTTCCTACAATTTCTGGTCTGCCTCGGCCAGCTCGCCACAGAAATGAACATGAATTACATTTAAGACTAAGTTGCAAATCCAAAAGCAAAATTGAGCATCACCAAATGACTTGTATACAATAAAATATGCAAGCTTCAGTTCCTTGAGTACAAGAAATATAAAAAATAGTCATGTGCTTCTGAAAATACATGAAATATTACTGTATCCATCAACTACTGAAAGAGATTATCACCAAGTAATCAGCTACTAATCCCTCGGGTAACATGAAAATCCTCAGACATCAATAGATAACAGGAAGAAGTGATTACAATGAAACCATTGAAACTAATAGCATTCTGGAACACTCAGTCTCCACAAGAAAACAAAATAAATGTGAACTTTAATGAAAGAAATGGGACAAAAGAATAGGTTCATGATTAAACTAGTGTGGCATTGCTGCTCATGATTAAACTATTTTTTAACAGTAATGCCGATAGTAATCTAACTAGTAAAGAAAGCTTCTATAACTGTAAATACGAACGTACAAGAAAAATTTTCTAGATATCATAAATTATTCCAGTAACATATTCTGCTAAAACATTTTAAAAAAAACAAGTAATAGCAACAAATTTCAATGAAAATAGAGATTTAAACGGCTCTGCAGAAAGCCCATTGAAGGTAAAGCCAAAATACATAAGATTCAAATGTGGGAAAGAGAAGAAACCAGATTTTGAACCTGATAAGCTTTAAGAGAATGCTCTGCAGCTTCTTTTTTCTCGTCGCCAAACTTGAACTCAGCCAGGTAACGATAGTAATCGGCCTTCCTGTAATCAAACATAACACACCTTCACACCCCAAAAACAGAAACATCCATGGCACAGCATCAGATGATTTCAGATATGACCCACATCTTGTAGTAGAAGACAGAGGATTCCCCGGCCGATGAAGAGCGGATGAGATGCTCGTCGATCAGGGCAATAATATCGGTGCAGATGTTCGAGAGCTCCGACTCCACCTTCTGGCAGTACTCCTTGATGCTCTTGACATGGTGATCGTTCCCCTTCGCCTCCTCCTTCTGCTCGATCGAAGACAGGATCCTCCACGAAGCCCTCCTAGCGCCGACCACGTTCTTGTAGCCCACCGAGAGCAGGTTCCGCTCCTCCACGGTGAGTTCCACGTCAAGCTTCGCGACCTTCTTCATCGCATCCACCATCTCTGCAGCGAACGACACGGATCGGATCGAGAGGCGGGCGGCAAAAGCCCTGATCTAGGGAAGAGATGGAAACCCTAGGCTTCGAGATCGGAGGGGAAGCAAACACCAACCGTCGTAGCGCTCGGCTTGCTCCGCGAGCTTGGCGATGTACACGAAGTTCTCGCGCTCCTTCTGCGACGCCATTGCCGATCCACTCCGAGCGCGTCGCCTCGATCTCTCCCTCCTGGTTCGGTTTCGAGGAAGAAACAAGAGAATAGTTGGAAGGGATGGTTAAAAAATAGGGAGGGATGGGTACGGTCGTGGAGCTATTTATGGCCATTGGGGATTGACCGTGGGACGGGATTGGAATAGGAAGTGCGCGCGAACGCATAGGCTTCGGATGGGTGGGTGGATGGACGGAGGGAGGGAGGGAGCGTGTAGAACCCACACGGATTCGCTGAATCAAATCCCGTGGTGTCGATACGTCTATATACATTCCTATTCATCTTATTCGATGAGCGAAGATGATTACCGATGCGCATCACACATCTGCAAATCGTATGTATTATAATACTTTTTATGTATTAACTATTTGTCAATGATATTTTCATCAGGCGTGATTCATTTCTTCAACGAACACAGTTTTATTCACTTCGTTAATGTACATAACTAAACAATTAAAACATATTTTATCACATAAATTATCAATTTTCTCCTAATGGCTATTAAATTTCTAAAATTACAAATTAAAAAGGATCGAAGCGGTATTTTCATTGTCATTTGCTTCTTCAATCGACTTGCATGACTCGAAGAAAATGCCGCTTCTTCGACTAACTTGCGCATGCCAAATATAATCGTCCCTACGATACAACCTCACTGAGAATTCCAAAAGTGCAAATAGAACTGTAAATAATGGAAACATAAACTTTGCCATCATCTTATTGTAGGAGGCTTATTGCTTGCTAATTATGACAAGTATCAAAGCTGAAATTGTTCCAGTCAATTGCGCTAATCTTCGAAAGACTGAAGAAAACAGCAAGACAAAAATTGATCACATAATATGATTGTTTTCTGCAATTCCTTATTGATATGGTACCCGAATGCATAATTTAACCGGTGTTCTGCAGTCCAGCGGCAATGCCCTTCATGGTCAAAATGAGGGTGTCCTCCAATCCAGGGGCGTACTCGCTGCTCGGATTGAGCTTCACTAGTTCTGCAGCTGGCTTGCTGGATTCCACTATCTCCTTGGAGAGATGAGGTCTGACATTAACATGGTAGGAAGGGTCCCTGATCCTCTTCAAAGTGTAAGCTTGGCAGGCATTCAGAGTTGTAATGTAAGCATCACGCAGGCGTAGTCTCTGCTTCAGATATGGATCCCCTTCTAAGAGATCTTTGTGACCAGCAACCTACAAAAAGAGAACCATTGTTGCCAATTGATAACTGGAACAAGTGCTCAAAAAATTGAGCGAATAACATTTCATGTTTTGGATTTGCACTTTTTGTAGTATTAACCCAAATTGGAGTTACAAAAATTGTCGTGAAGAATCTACCTGAAGAAGAAGATGCTTTGTCTCTTCATAGTTGGCTCTGAGTTGCTCCCCAAATTTCCACAAATCTTGGGAAACCAACAGTTTGTCATATAAAGCAGCTATGCCAGGATCTCCCTTAGCAAAGACCATCTCAACCAGATCAATTGTGACCCTAAAAAAGGGCCACTCATTGTACATCTCTTGAAGAGTATGAAGATTCTTGATATCTTTCTGTATAACATGCTTAAATGCTGCACCAAAACCAAGCCACACTGGTAGGTGAAACCGTGTTTGTGTCCACGCAAAAATCCAGGGAATTGCACGTAATGATTCGATGCCCCCACTGGGCTTTCGTTTTGATGGCCTGCTACCAATGTTCATCCTACCATACTCCAGCTCGGGTGTAGCCTGTAAAACATTACGACATTGCATATATGAATAGGGGAAGGAACTAAAAACAAGATATGTATTTGTGGATGTTTTGCATATATGATTTGATGCATGTTCAATGAGTCAAGATACATGAAAAATGCAAAAGTTATTTGCTCACCAAAATATGTACAGGGATGTTAATCTAAATCTTTTGAACAGCACACAGCTATTTTTTGAATTTCCATAATGTTCATCAAATCTAAGTATGTTATACACCAAAAGAACCGCTTATGATCGTTCGTGTTTGTCGAAGATTTTGATGTTATCATGCTCAGCAGCTTAGTTCTCTCTATGGGGCTCCCATAGCTAAATTTAAATTGATAGATTTCTCATAGTTATCCAAGTATCAAAACCACTAACACAATGGTCACCTTCAATGATGTACAACACATGCTAACAACAGGCTCAATGAACTATTTTAAGGTATGCTATCATTAAAGTGATCGATTACTTACCAGGCGGAAATATTCGACAAAACGTGGTTCCTGGAAGACAATGGATCGATATTCCTTGGTAGCCACAACAGCCATTTCATCCATCAATGCACGCCATTCTGGCTTTGGGGAAATAGGGGGGTGCATTCCATGTTCAAGAGTAGCAGCTGTGAAACGTTGGAGTGTCCGGAAGCACAAATGCTCTTCGCCAAAAGATTGCTCGATGACTTCTCCTTGAACTGTAACTCGAAGAGATCCATGGATCGTGTCTGGTGGCTGAGATAGTATAGCAAGATGAGTAGGACCACCACCTCTTCCGACAGTTCCCCCTCGCCCATGAAACATCGTCAATTTCACTCCATAATCCTTCGCAACCTTTATGAGCTCCTCTTGAGCTTTATATAACTGCCAAGCTGCAGAAAATCGGCCAGCATCCTTCCCTGAATCCGAATATCCAATCATGACTTCCTGCTTCCCATTAATCCTGTTCCTGTACCATTCTATCGAGAAAAGTCGGGATAAAGCTGCAGGGGCAGCCTCCAGATCTGCAAGTTTTTCAAACAAAGGGACTACTCTCAATGGCTCTTTCACATGGCACTCACGCTGCAACAACTCAACAGCCAAAACATCTGAAGGAGCAGTAGCCATTGATATGATGTAAGCCCCAAAGTTGTCAGAAGGAAGTTCTGCTATGACATGGAAAGTATCCAAAACATCAGCAACTTCATCTGTCTTGGGTAGGTCAGGACCAAACAAAGGGCGTTTTCCATTAAGTTCAGACAACAGCCATTCCTGGCGTTGCTTCTCAGGCCAGTCACGGTAGGATCCAATTCCCAGATGTTTGGTAATAGCATCAACAACATCAGTATGCCTGTCAGATTCTTGCCTAATATCAAGTCTGACAAGCGACAGGCCAAAGGTTGACACTTGGCGCAAAAAGTCAAGAAGGCTTCCATCAGCAATCGGTCTATCACCAGAGTCACAGAGTGATCGGTAGCAGAGTTCAAGAGGCTCCAAAAACTGCAGGAAGACCAATGCAAAATTTAAAACAGAACATCAAATTGGAAGGAATCAAACACCAAACTGAACACATTGGCAAGTACTTTGGCTATTAATTTCTCGGCTGTACAAATGTGTGACACAACAGTTCTTCAAAAAGTATGTGATACGAAAGCACACTCATTAAGCATAGCGTAAATGCAGTAATACATAACTCCTTTCAGCCATTCAGACTATTTGTTATCCACCACATATGTGGAACACCACCTACCCAGATAGATGCAGCTCTAGATACATTTTGGACGCTAGAATTACTGGTACAACTCTATTTTAGCTACCATTAAATACAAATACAACATGGTACCTGTTCGATATTCGTGAAAGTTGCTTCTTCAGGGATGTCAGAATATCCATTTGAAAGTAAATGGCGTGAGCGCTCACGTGTGTTGTATAATTTATCTCTCACATCACTGAGAATAACACGATATGGCTCATTTGGAGGTACTTGCTTCCAGAACTCTGTGTCACAAAAAAAAAAAGTAATGCATACATTAACGTCCATAATGATGTTACATTCATCAAGACACTTGTTCTAATATAGTACATAACAGATAAGATCAATGTACAGAATCAAGGAAAGAAATGTCAATGGACTTTACAACCACTAAGAACAGCAAAGCAATGCAACAGTTTGTCATTTTAACACCAAATGTGCAGCATAATTACACATACTACTACGAACGAAAACCAGCCTTCCAGTAAGATACAATAACAATGGCAGACAATTTGTCTGACGCACAGGCATAGGAGAACAAAGAGAACAAGATCTCTGGCAGATGGCGAAGGAATCCAGGAGAAGTCTTTGGCAGGGAGATCAAGGACACCACACTCGAAACAAAATTCCCAGGGTAAATAGTCTTAAGCAGATACATGAAGTTTAATGCCTTTCGAGTGTTTGAATTGTCCTAACAAAAATGAGAATATCGAGATGCACTGAAGTATACAAACTAAATGTCAAGCAAAATAAGCTAAGAACATGGCTGCAAGGAAATACAAACTATGCTTGTAAAAATCATATGACTAACATAAAACAAAGTGAATATATCTTTCTAGTACCTATATAGTGTTTTGCATCTTTTTTGGAGGAACGGTCTAGTACATCTGCTCGTATCCGGAGTTCAGCATTGCAGCGCCACATAGACAGCTATAAGAAAAATACCAACCAACAATATATGTCATAAATATCTTGCACTCGGAAAAGATCAAAGGAAGTTTCAGATATCCCACAACAAGAAAGTTTTAGTACCTCGAACATCAGATCCTCGATCTGTGAGTAGTACAAGTTTGCAGCCATCATTCTAGCCAACAAACATACATCTCTAGTTACTTCTGGAGTAACTCTAGGATTGCCTATATGCATAAAAAAAAATTGTAAGGACAACAAATACGTAGCATACATCATAAATTCATCGATTATTTTCTAGATGTGTGCAAAAAAATATGTTAATTTGACTACTGATTCTGAATTATCTCACACTCAAGAGAAGTATCCCTTTCTCCTGACATAATTATGTACAAAACTTAGTCTTAGACAAGTAATCATAAGCCAAATGTAGGACTCGTCTAGAAATCAGGGAGATGAATCATACCGTCACGATCCCCACCCATCCAAGAAGAAAACTGAATAAGAGGGGCATTATAAGGCACACGTTCATTTATCCCAATGTTCTTCAGTGCTGTATCAACACGACGTAAGAATTTAGGGACACCCTTCCATATAGTTTCATGGAAATAGCTCATCCCAGCCCGCATTTCATCTTGAGGAGTTGGAGGAGTTCTTCGGATTTCATCAGTTCTGAAGGCAGCTTGAATCTACATAAAATATCAAACCAATCAATAAGAAGAAGTGTGAATACATAAAGAGGACTTAAAGGGGCTTGATACTAGAATGTAGCTTCAGGCTCAAGGAAAATTTACAAGGACCTACTGATTAAGTGCATGTTAAAAATAATTACCTCTCTCTGAAGCGACTCATCAAGCTCCTGCTTGTCGTCAGGAGTAATATCTTTGGCATACAACTGAGTCAAACAATTCCTTATCCTGAACCAAACACCCAGCACATGTAAGAAACCAGGTATCGTATGTATAGAATATGCTGACTCCTTATCATACAACTTCCCTTCATTGGTACACAAGTAGGATACAGTGAATGGTACAAGGAGGCATTTCTAAGACTTCCAAAGATACATCGGTCATATCTCTGAATCTTAGATGCATTGTGAAGATTAAAACATGAGTATGGTATACTTGCAGATAAATTTGTTGAGTAAAAACTTCTTGGATACTAGAAATTTACACATGCTGGACGATTAAAACAAATGTTGTCCAGTTATAACTGCAATAGAATGTTTAAAAAAGAAACAAACTATGCCAGAAAATTTCGCGCCGTTGATGAAGCTAAGATATCATCATGAGATGTACAAGAATAGGTTGATATAAGAAAATAGTACAAAAAAGAAAATGTTAAGACATCATTTTCAGATGTTTCAACCAACAATGGGCTAGGTCAAGCGATGCTTCCATGCCGGCTAATTGAACATGAGTTCAAAAGTGTATCTTCAAAAAGCATTTTGGCAAATAGGTTACTGTCAATAATTTAACAAACCTTCCATGCTTCTGAAGCAAGGATCTTCTGACTGACTGAGTTGGATGTGCAGTGAAAACAAGATCAATTGTCTGGTTCTTCAGAGCATCAAAAACTTCTTCTTTGGACTTCTTCAGCTGTGTAACAAGACGCTTAAGTGTTTCTTCTATGTCCGATTCAGTAATTGCAGAATTTTCATCAGCAAAATCTCCTTTTTTTAGCTTGATCCGTCTTCGATAGGCAATCTGCACCTCCTCAGCCAAGTTGGCCAAGTTAAGCATGTGTGAGAATGACTTGGAGACCACGATTGTGTCACCTGGATCCAAACTAGTCAGAACATTCCCCAGTTCCTCTAGCTTCTCAGGTTCATGATTGCCTTCATATTCAGCAGATAGCTCATATAATTCTTGAACCTAACATTGTAAACACAGCCCACAATAAATCAACTAGCTCTATCAGGATTCAAGAAAGACAATATCAAATGATCAGATCAAAGAGTGAAATTGAAAGAAAACAAATGTCTAGAAAAAAGTATAAAAAATCACGTAAAACGCTTCATTTTCGTGCTAATAATTACTTAAAGAGTCACGATGATGTCATCGGAATTGGCATTAGCATTTTCCCGACACCAGTCAGACAAATCTTAGATCAGTCTATACAAGATAGTATAAGTCGTTAAATTCAAATACAAAATCATTCAATACCTAGAATGACATCTCCACAACCATTTAGCGGAGACTGAAACAATGAACAAGATCCAATTCTTTACCAAGTATTAGTCATCACCCACTTCAACCGACCAATAGATCAGATCTTTGAAAATCCAATTTATTTATAATTTTTCAACCTCATGCAATAGAAAGTGCCATGAAAATCATAATCATAAAAAGGATAAGGTACGAAGAACAGAGTTCGAATACCGTTTCTCTGATCTCCTCGCCGTGGAGATCCTGAAGGATGTCGAGGAACCGATCCAAGAGGAGGGCATCATACTCGATCAGCTTGTCGTCCTCGGATACCTTCCCGGGGGCAAGAAGCCTCATGTGGGCATCAATGGATGCCATCTTTTCCAAGCGAGACATTTCCACTACCGATCTACCAAAACCCCTTCTCCCTCTGAGTCAAAATATATATGAATAGATTTATAGATGATCTCTAAACCAACAAGGCGAGGAGTACGAGAAAGCCGCCTCCAAGCCCCAGATCACTTCTCTAGATGAGGGAATGGGAAAAGGAAGCTGACGGCAGTATACTGGGGCGTTGGGGGTGGGGGGTGGGGTTGTATTTATAGAGAGCAACCACTTATTTCCTTTTTTTTTCTCCTTTGGCATCTTTCCACGGGCAAACCCTACGCGCGTCCCTTACGAGGTGATCGGGACCCAGATGCCACTTCCAAGCTCGGTGCGGTAGGGAAAGAGTCTCGATACTTGGCCCCGTTCAAGGTTCACCGGGATGGCACTATTATGTCGGAATCATAGAGACGCCGGGCAAAGCAACACGACACTAACAACTACTTTGGGTGGAAACACGATTCCTGTGTGTGGTGGGGCCGGCGGATTCCATACACGGAGCATGGAGGCAGGTGGCATGAACTGATGGGGTGAGGGGGAGGGGGAATATGCCATGGAAGATGCCGTTTCCCAACGTGGGCTTCCCCTTCGGCCACGGCGTTATTTGGTACGCACTGACGTACGTTTCCCGGCTTATGGGAATGGAAGACGTCGTGGGCCCCAGAAGCGACAGATACACGTTGACAGGCCCCATGTGCCGATTACTTATTTTGGGGAAGTGAAACGAGTATAAAAAGAGTACGGCACCAAGTCGGGCCCACTATGGTTGACCATTGGATGTGACTGTGTGGCCCGCATACATGTCTAAGCAAGACGGAAAAAAAGCCCAGTTTATTTTCTTTCAGAGATTAATAATATATTTATTTATTTTTATGGGTTAAAAAATATATTTAGTGTATGAGATTTATAATATGTATTATTTATTGTTGGGAAGTGAAGGTTTCGAAGCCAAAAAAATTCTCAAAAACCAATAACCAAATAATAAATTAAAATTTTACTTATTGATAAAGAATATATTTTTATATGTCATTCGAAGTTTAGGTCTACTGTAATTGTACGTAATGCTTTGACCATTTGGATGGTTTTTTATAGATTTTTTATTATCACCGTGATAATTTAGTTCGTACAAGACTACACAGTTTCTTTCTTGATGTATGCTAACCACCATGAATGGAGTGGTCGTGTAAGCTGACGGTGGATAGCATGCGCTCCTATCATTCATATCAGGCTATGATAAGCTCTCATAACGTTTAATTATTTATTGCTAAGCTATCATTAGCGCATGATGACGACATTCTATTCATATTTGATTTTTTTTTCCTTTTGAGTAAGATTAGAATATGTTACGAAAAAATATCGTTGGTATCCTAATCAGTCCGATATGATTTGGACTCGTATGTGTAGAATTATTCGAGGCGCATCTGAAATGAAAACATCGAGCTCCCAAGATGTCACCTACATTAAGACTGAGATAAAAAAAAGGTTTCTTGACTTGATCATTTCGATGTCCAAGTTAGTAATATGATATACATGAGTATAGATATGAGTTATCAAAAAAGTAATTTTCCTTTTCCCTTGTATTGAAGATGAGCTTTAATATATAGTCATAAAAGATAAAATATTTTATAAAATATTCTACGACAATCTTTAATTATCTCCAATAATCTTCCCTTAGTCTTTTATCCATAAGGGTAATAGCTTGTAATCACCTATCTTGAACCCTTATCCATGTGGCAAATAGGCGGAAGGTGGCCTATGTCTTCTCTTTCCATTTTGGACACCACATGAAAATCATGTGTCAGGTGAAGACTAGCTAACGATGCTCTCTCTATCATTTGTCCCTCTCCAAGGCGTGCTTTGGGTGCTCTTATAAGAGAAATCCAAAGTGCGATGTTTAATTTATCCGACACATTAAGCTCATGTCTCTTTGATTGATTTTCCGACTCTATGCATTAGACAAACACTAATATGATCGAGGGGCACCTCGACTGCACCTTGAATCGATGACTTTTGTCCCTCGGTAAGGGGTCACTCCTTGCTAATAGGCCCTCCTCAATAGTATATCAACCTTTGCTAAGATGAACTCGGCCCTCCTTCAGGATGGTCAACAATGATGGAGTCAATTTCCTAACCTTCGTGGCTCGATGATATAAAAAATGGAGGGTTGGGTGCATAATCTCTATGTTTCGAATAGAAAATGGGGTCAAATTTCTCAACCTCTATGTCTCGGGTTAAGGTAGGGGAGGGGGGTCGAGTCTCCTGACCTCCTAGCTCAGTATGGACTGCAAGTGAGGGGTGCAATTACTGTTAGCAATGGTTCATTACCAACTAGCCCCTCCCATCATTGAGAGACCAACCTCAAGTAGAGGGGAGGTCGTTTCTTCCTAATCAGGTTGGGTTTAATCATGTTTCCCAACCATCATACCTCAAGCGAAGGGGTGGGTTAGATTTTCTAATCTCCATAATTTAGTGAGGACAACAAGCGAGGGGTGCAAGCATTACTGGCGGCTATCCATTACCGACCTACCCCACTTTTTCTGCTTGCCATCGAGGTAGGCTGTGAGAGGAGCCGAGGCGAGTTGTAGGTATTGCGAAAGTGGGCACTTCCCCTGTTCATCCTTGAGGGACCCATGTGGGATGTTGTGAAGCTCCTTATCATTGACCTGCTCCTCTTCTTCTATGTCGTCAAGGTGGGCTATGAGAGGAGTCGAAATAAGCTGCATGTAGTGTTAAGGTGGGCTCCTCTGCTCGTCCCCGAGGGACCCACATTAGGCAACAGATCTATAATGAGGATCATGCAAAGCTCCTCATAGCCAACCTACCCTTCCATCACCAAGGAACCCACGTCGGGCAAAGGGGGGTTGTTCGAAGCTCCCTTAACGAGTGCTAATCTTGGTGGCAATTGAGCCGAGGGCCATAATTGAGTTGATGGCATTGCCTATTAGGCTAACGTAGACAAAAGCAGAGCGATGATCTATATCATGCATATTAGTTTTTGTACTTGTGAGTGAGATTTAGGAACGCCTCGACGGGGGACGATCATGTGGCTCGAGGTCATCCCTAGGGATGAGAGACTCGGGTCGTTGAATAGACATGATACAAGTCATGTCTGCATCGAGGTGAATGCACTCATGTGCGGACAGGGTGGTTGCTATCTCCCTTAGGTGAAAGTATTATGGGTCGGGGGCAATGCCTCTTCACTCGAGCATTCATTAAGATGGTTGGTAGGCGATCATTCCTATGACATCTAACCCTTCCTCTAGAGCTAAAAATATTATAAAAAAATTATTAACATCCTAGTCAGCCTAATATAGTCTAGACGCATGTGCAAAAGATTGTTCGAGATGAAAACACTAAACTCCTAAGATGTCACAAAAATCGAGGTCGAGAGGTTTCCCGACCTGATCTATCTGACTCTCAAGTTAGTAACTCGAGATGAATATTTTCTTTTACTCCATCGAACAAAAATTGTCAAACTTATTCTTCTCTTTGGATCATGAATCCAATGCAGATGATAAGATTAAGTTTGATCATAAATTTGATTTGATAAAATTGATTCTATTTGACTTGTTTTTCGAGTGTTATATAAGAAAAAAAATTTGATCGTCAATTTAATTTAGTCAAATTTGGTTTAAACATAAGAGGCCATTGAGTATTCTGACCTTAAACGAGGAACTTAGGTAAGGAAAAAACTTTTCTAAAAGTTAAAAAATATTTATTTATTATGGTCTCTTCTCCCCGTTTTGTTCATGGTCAAAGATGTCTGTATTTAATATCTTGCTTTATGTAGAAGGTTATGTCAAGGGTTTACCCTCCAACAATCAAGTTAATATGCGTTTGTAAAGCTTACATATGTTCGTCTATTCAGTTTTAAGAAAAATATATCTAAAAAGATTGATCTATATTACTTCATTCTTATACATATTAATTTAATAAGAAAATATATCACATTCATTGATATGGCATATATGATAGATGCTTTAATTTTCAACATTTTAGTTCTTTCAACAAATTATTTTAATATTTTTCTGTCATGCTTAATATCATACGTGTTAAAAAAAATATCGTTGACGTCCTTATCAACCCAATATGGCTCTAATCTGTATGCATAGAGTCGTCTAAGGTAGACAGCGTCTTCTCTCGAGATATTACTTATACGAAGATTGAAGTAAGGAGAGGTTTCTTGAGTCGATCCCTTTGACGCTTAAGTTAGTCCAGGGGTCAACTTTTGTGAGTCTATGTTCTCGATTGCAATGCCCCCTACCTGAGGGTGTATATTTAAACATAATATTGGAGTAATGAAATATTTCTACGAAGATTTCACAGGGGAGACGATTTGTAATAATCCCGAACTACCCCTTAGATTCCCATGAATATTCTCGTATGTATCTTATAATCATCCTAAATTACCCTTTAAATTTCTATCCGCATGGGCAAGCGGATAACAGATTGTCTGATTTTTTTGTACTCACGGATCTTATGTGACGCTTGTGTAGCAAGCGATGAATGATTGATTATGTATTCCATACCAATTCGTGAAGTACTATAGATATTGATATTTTAATATTAGAAAAAATTAATTGGCTTGACTAATTGGTTGGACATAGCAATCCTAAAAATATCATGGCGACGATATGGATGAAAATGTGGTCAAACTTTGACTGCATCCCGTACCATCAATTTCCAGCCCAAGAAAAAGAAAAAAGACAAAGAAAAGGAACCATAACATTATAAAAAATTCTCACTGGATATCACTTCAAAACGTGTTTCCAACTATCAGATTCTTTGCAGTCACGATAGGATATCAGAAAGCAGTGCAGTTCTTATCAAATAAGTCAACTCAGCTTTAGCTTCGGTGTGTCGGCAAAGTTACGTATCCACCACCACAGGAAGAATAAGTGCGTCTTAAAATGAAAGCTACCCAGCAGCCTCTTGTGACCTTTAAACTGCAAGCAAGCAAGCAAGCAAGCAAGCAAGCAGGCAGGCAAGTTTGACGAAGCACCCTCAGATACGTATAGAAAATTCTTGGAACATGACACCGAGCAAGACATCCACCAATTGCACTTGTCGTACGTAAAGATAAGCCGAGAGAGAATTGCGTGCTCGTGTCAAAAACCATTGTGTGGTTATTTAATCTTCTTTCGTTTTCATTTTCCTGACATCGACAGAACACAGTCAGACATTATTAGGCTTACCTTCTGATAATACATTTGATGTCAGTAGTGACAGCGATTTATGCATCTGCTAAGGATACAGAAGCCGGTCCAATCATTCATGACTCGTGCCACTCTGCGTTGCATGCATGTCATCTGTAGGACTTGTTTATTAGAGTCACAAGGACAGCCTGTAGTAGGTCAGAAATCTATAATACTTGTTATTCATCTGCATCTGGACCTCTTGTTTCTTGGAATCTAGAAAGTGACTCCATCAAACAAACTTACTTTACTAAGTGCATCTAAGTTTTTGCTTCTTTTTCTTAGAATCTTATATTCCAATTTATATATACCCTTCGAATGCATCTCCACACCCTCCGGTGGACTGCCCACCTTCCTGCGATGTGACCATTTCAGGGAAAGGTGGAGACGTAGTTTTCTTTCTAATCACTTTCCCGAAGTGTCCGGCGGGACACGTGGTCTCAATTATTGGACATCACCTCCCATCACGTGCCTTATGTTATACGTAGAGATGACTTTTCGCAGTCCTTTATTCATATTCGACAACTAAATGCATGATAGCGGCACGTGTGCTAAGTAAGGGGTCTGCGACGTGTGGCACACGTGTTTGACCTAACAGCGAGCTGTGCGCGTGATTGGTCCAAAACGTTGTCGAAGTGGTGCACACGTGTTCGATCTAATGGACTTTCTCGAGTGCCACAGCCAAAACATTGGATCTCACAGATTCATCACCATATTTATCTGAACGACATGCATGTTGGCCTCCTAATCTGATGGTGCATCAGATGGGTTGTGTTCAGAATCAATTAAGATTTACTTATCCCGATGAAAATATTATAAAATACTACTATCTTGAAGATATATTTAACAAAATCATTTCAATGACTCGATCAAATACAAAAGTACCCAATGAAGAAAAATCCCTAAGAACATACATAGCAAAATATTTGAAACTACGATTATATGGATTATTAATGAGCCATTAGATCATGTGTCAAACCATCATAACAACAAGTCACTGATCTTTATTGAGAATATACCATCCATGAGAACTCCTTTCTACAGAAATGAACAAATATGTCATTGATCTTTCATTTTTTTTACATGATGCATGTAAAATCAAAGAAACAAACTATATCAAACCAAACCAGATGGATCTGATTTTATCTTCTCCTTTCTTTGTTCACTCTGTCCCTCCGTCTCCTCCTCTGATGTTGCTCCACCATTTCTTCTCGGAGGAGTCAGAGGAGGAGAAGGAAAAAGAGAGTAAAAGGAGAAAGACAAGGGAATGGAAGAGAAAGAAGAACTAATAAGAATGGGTTTTATTTTTCAAAAAAATAATTAAAATAAAAAAGATAAAACTGAGATTTACAAGAAAAATAGACCCTAAGTGAATTCTAAGAACGTCATCTGATAAAAATAAATTAGTGAAAAATTTATAAGTAAATTATCCAATAATATATACTCACATTAAAAATAAAAAAAAAACCATACCTGCACTCGTGGTCTTGACAGATGCAATGCAAACTGTGCATCTGCTTCTGCCTCTTCTGCTGCCTAATGAAAATATATTAAAAGTCGTCAATAATTGTGCATACAAACAAACAAGTGGTGGCGATGTTATGATGTCAAACACATCCTCCAAGTTGAGGATGAAGATGGAGCACCATGGATTCAACACACATCCAAGTAGCAGAATAACTGTGAACCCTTCCTTCCAAAGACCTACATGTAACCATCTGCAACATGAGCAAGTATCATTTATCAGTACCAATCATGTAGAATTCTAATGAACAAAATCGGCGGTAACTCGAATTATTTCCACTAATCAGTAACCATAACAATCTAAATCATCAAAAGGCGGAAGAAGCAATGGCATGAGAAATAAATTGCAAGTTTTCTGCCAAATGAAAGGTCCAGCACGAGCGTTCGGATTTACTGAAATATATATGCTGCTTTAACAACAATCACCAATAAGTTGTTTTCGAAACACATATTACACAACAAGAGCAACTAAAGCTTGTAAAGATGAGATTAGCATCTATGGGGGTCATAAAATGCCCTAAGGTACCCATGTATATTAAAGTGACCTATGTCAGATTTGAGTTGTTAATATGTCCTTAATAAAGGACAATCTCCCCAACTCAAATATGTAGAAATGTCATATGAACTTAAGTAGAATTTGCACATAAAAGAAAACACATGCTCAAATTTTCTTTTACAGAAAGACAAAGACGAGTGGTAGGGAAATGCAAACCTCGTAGCATGGACATATATGCAAATATAAAAAGACAATAGTTTTAGATTCTTTAGAACATGGGACTAATTGGAAAAAAAAAATCCTAAAAAACAATGAGAAAATACTTAAATTGCTTGGCTGTCGGGAAGCATAGGCAATTGGAAATCGTGAAAGCATTATGTGACACCAAGGTAACAGGATATTGTGAAAGATACGTAGAAATAATATATGCTATTCAATTAAAGAATGACTGGACCATCATTACCCAGTCAGTAATGCTAGAACCACTGCAAATATGATGCGGGAAAGGTCACACAGAACATAGCCACATCCATCACTAACTAGCCTTTGTTAAAACTCAGACATTCATATTCTATGGTCTGCCTTAAATAAAACAGATAACTACTGGTAATGGTAGGTTAGCTAAAGTGTTCAAGATTCAGAAACAAAAACATGAGAGAAAAAATCACAGAAAATACATGGTTGATTGCAACAGAAGAGCACATTCTGACACACAGAGACATGCACATCCATCAGCACACAAGAAGCCCGAGAAAAATGTCATGAACATTAAACAATGTTCCTGTTATACCTTTGCCACTGGGACTGTTCTGCTTTTCATCTAAAACAAGTGAGATACTATCAAATTTGGTTCTAACAACAAGCAAAAGAGTTGCATGAACTTGCTTTCATGAGGCGGAGGTAACATTTTGGCAATCTAGGAAAAATCTCAATGACAAAGCTAGTTAGACTAGTAAATAGAATTTGCCACATAGCATGACAAGAAGAGGATGTTAATCAGAAAAGCAACTTTTCTAAGACCAACTTCCAAAAGATCAATTATAAGAGGCCATTAGAATGAACTGGGAGACAGTTTCTAAGGAGATTAATCTTTTCAGATGTATTCACAGAAATTGCTGCAGTTTAAGGTCAATGGAATGAGAAAATAAGAGATACTTCATTGTCATATGTAGCGGAATCTTTGATGATTGCACAAAGGCTGGACTGGACTCATTTGACACAATCAATATCATGTCGTTTTAGGGGTGAGGGGGGCTCGTCTAAACTTAATATCAGCCAAACCTATCACTGATACAACTTGAACAAAACATAAACCAGCACAGAGTTTGAACAAGGGCGATTCAATTATGATTGCATCAGCGCTTGTGTAGGTGCTGCTCCAGTTATCAAGGGACGAAAGAAGAATCAAGTACAAGACCAAGATTGGTACATAGTCAGACCCAACCCTGTGGAATCATATGAAAAGAAATAAAAACTCAAAGATATCTCTTCGATGCCAAGAGAACGAGAACCATAAAATAGGAGGTAGATGCTAAAAATGTTTCAAAATAATAAATCGTTTCAAATCCCAGATACTCAATCTACAATTTAGTTTGTTACTATTGTTTTTTGCTGGCTGGTTTGAAAGAAATACAATACTAAGAGAACAAAATTTAACTGCTCCATAGAGCATTTCTCACATCCATAAGGTAGCCAACGAGTACAATAAAGAGCTAGATTTAGACATTAGGAATTCACATCTCAACAAAATCTTTATCAATGAACGACATTTCTCGTGAAGTAATTTCGATCTTTGAAATCAAAACTTGGATGAACCACTTTCTCATTCTGTCATCATTTTCCCTCTTCAGCCGTTGATACATCAGAAGTACTATTTAGTATCTACTATGTTGATTCCTTAATAAAACAATTCAGCAGAACATTTGATGTAGCAGAAAAAAAAAATCCAAAGAATTTCTTAACATAAACACTTGAAGAATAACCTTATTGCCAAAAATCACGGTGATAAGCTGAAGTGAGAATGCACACAATGTCTCCATTGTCCACAGAAAATATGCCATTTCAGGCTGGCTCATAACAGACCGATTCAACAAACGAAAAGCAGACCTTGCCAGTCCTACTTAAGCTAAATTTGATATGTACATTTTTAGACTTCTCATCCAAACCAATATTGACTTGAACACCGATTAATTAAACAGTTCATAATTAACATGTACAACAATTTCATCATTGTGAATGTAAAGAATTTAATGGCTTTGGAGCTATTTTATTATTGTTGGCACCGATCCAACAAACCAGATCATGCCTCCCGTTAGAACATAGGTATCTCAGAAAATAGGGGTAAAAGAAATATCAAGTTAACAAAATTCAATCAATCCTAAAACATACAATTTGTAAAGTTTGTTTTGTTCACCATCAAACTATTTGTATTTGACTTCCATTGTCTATCGCGTACTAGAGAGATTGACCAAGGAAATCCAATGTAAGCTCCGAAAAACACAAGATGAAAATGATCTCACTTCATTTCGCTAATTTGTCAGAAAGAGAGTAGATAACAATATGTCCATTCATAGTGTTAATGCTAAGCACACCATCACCAATCACATAATAGAAAAACGTATCCAACCATGTACCTCTGCTTTATCATTTATATGCATCCATTATACAGCCTGAAGACGATAAACTCAGTATGTAGGGACTAGCTTGATTGTCAATTGAATTATTATAAGCTCTTCTGAGAATAATCATGCAGCACAGCAGCTAAAATAAATTATTTTCAGGAGTATCAAACTAAAGCTAGAACATTTCTCACTGACAAACTAAAACTAAAAAGTGATCCACCACCATCACATATAAATGATGTGCCTAACACAAATGAATACTGCACGACCAAAATGGAGAAGGAAAAAGAAAAACAAGTTAATTGGAGGAAAATAATATGACTCTCGATCTGCAGCAGCAACCAAACAAACGAGACTAAAAAATTCAAATATGATAATATGCATCAATTACAACAGGGTAAGAAGATGGAGGATCCAGCTGACTTACCAGCATCCGATCGCTTGGCACGCTTAATCTTTGCAAGCTGGACCTGTGAATCCACAAAGATCTGCATCCGCTGGAACTCCAGCTCCTTGGCGAACTCCATCCGCTTCTTCTCCATCTCCATCATTTGCCGCTGCTTCGCCCCCTCGACCCTCTCGTATATCTCAGCAAACCTCTCTATCGCCTTCGCCAGCTCACGGATCCCATCCCCCTCTTTCCCCCGAGCCATTCGCAATCCACCTCCAGACCTGGACGAAGAACCTGACGGCGACTCCAAATCATCCTCCTCGTCGTTGTCATCCCCTGCCGCTGCAGCGGCGGCGGCAGCCCGCTGGAAGATCGAGTCGTCCACGGAGATGGAGATTGCCGCACCGCGCCTCTCCCTCGGGTCCACCGGTCGGACTGCTGCGGCGGCAGCAAATGGCAAGGTGGAGCCCTTGCGATGGTAGGGGAGCGGCACGGCGAGCGGGGGTGATGGAGAGGGCTTCTTCGCCGGGGGAGCGGCGGCCGATCCAATGAGGGCATCGAGGCGGGAGAAGAACTGCCACTGGCTGGCAAAGGCGGAGGTGACCCGGGCCTTCTCGATCTTGTACTTCTTCTTGAGGGTGTCGATGCGGTTCTTGCACTGGACGTCGGTGCGGGGCGGGCGGCGGCCGAAGGCACCCCGGCGGCAGTTGACCGCGTCGGCGACCTCCTGCCAGTGTTTCTGCCGGAGGTTCCCGCGTTTGAGCTCGAGGTAGCGGTCACCCCACGCGTCCACCAGCGTCGACGTCTCCCCCTCGCTCCAGCAGTCCTCCCGGTACGGCAGCGCCGGGTTCGGCGGCCGCGTCGGAGGCGTCTCCCTACCCTCCATCACCACCAAATACTCAGATCTATCTCAGATCCAAACCTATTCTCTCTCTAATTCGTCTCCCCCTCCCTTGGCGTGTTGGCGACGGAAAGGGAGGAGGGGGAAGAGAGGAGCAATAAAAGAGTGGGGTTGAGAGGGGGAGAGAGAGCGGCGAGGAGGGGGCGCCGGCTGGCGAGGCGAGGCGTGGCACGTGAGGGGCGTGCGAGGGAGGGTTGGGAGTCGCCGGGCGGACGCGTGCGCCGACGTTCGCGCGGGTAGGGTGGGGGCGTGTGATGGGACGGCGTCAGTGGAGGACGGGGAGCGGGGTCCATCGAGGCGACGGGGCATCACCGCCGTTGGTTTTGGGGGACGGGCGGGTGGGTTGACGGGGGGAATCATCGAGGGGCGGGAGGGGGGCGATGATGGGGAGTAAAATTTGCTTTCGGTTGCGACGATGGGATAAGGACGAGGCGCACCGGGGACATGCGGTGCCGTCGGAGATTACGTAATTGCCCCCGCGTATCACGGAGGCTGGCGGAAGAGGGCGTCAACGGCGCGGGGGAGCGAGGGGCAGAGTTGGGACGATGGGTGGTGGGTGGACGCCTTGAGAGCCTCGGTTGCGTCGCCTGTCGACAGAAAGACAAAGGAGTGGGGAGGCGGAAGCGTGAGCTGTTACCTTTCGCCGTTGATTGGGCGCGGGGGGGGGGGGTGGTTGGGTTGGCGTTTGGTTCGGGTCGTCGGCTTGTTTTGCGCGCGCGTGGGGGCACCGAGACATGCAATCTCACGGAGCGAGGGAAGTCGGGAGAAGTGGGCCCCCTGCACCCGAGACCACGGCGAGTAACCGGCGCAGTCTGGTTCAGAGTGGTTGACGCTGGCCAACACTCCTTTTCTCTGTCAGCTGTGCCCGGTAACGGCAACGGCTCGGATGGCGAGATCTTGCTTCAAAATTAAGGTTCATTCCGGGTCGGATTTTAAAATCCGACCCGTTTAATTAGGTTGGTATTAGTAATTTGGCATGGATGGATTCATTATAGTCTCAAATTGAGTGACGGCGACCACATCGCAACGTTGTGCCAATTTGAGCTATCGTGGGCCTGTTTCATAGGTATTCCAGTGCGCCTCACAGAAATGGATTCAGATTACTTGGCACACGCATAATATGTAGACTGAAGACGATGGTTGTGCTGGCACTGTCATGGCATAAATTCGAATGTGCAAGTGGTCCAGTCGACATGAATCCAACCTCGTTTGTACACGCAAATATTGATGGGCATGAGTGCTGTAGATGGTACGTCTATGTCGGCAGTCGACACACTCTATACTCTCGTAACACGATCGACTCAGCTGACATGTGTAAAACAAGATCCCTGTACACCATGGTTTGGTGAACAGTAAATTACAAGATATACCGACTTCTGATTGCTTTAAAGTTCGCGACAGGGACGTCGTAAAGATGGCAGGAAGGAGAACGCCGAAGGACGAGTCAAATTATTGAGGTAGCTGTAATCAAAGCCTCGAAAAGAACGTTTCATGTCGCTGCAGACATGAGCTGGTGTGACGCACATGTAAGATATTCTATTGGATTCGAGTTCCTCTCTTCGGATGGTCCACCAAGTCCGCCTTGCCCTTCGCTTTCCCTTCCTTCCTTCCTTCCTTCTCCCCCTAAACACTTGTTAGATGTGCTTGGTTGCAGAGGAAACCTCTTCCATGGTTCGAAGCAAAAGCATGTAAGTAGCATGGTTAAACACTGCAGACTTCCTGGAACAGGAATCGGTGGCCATGGTTCATGGTCTCCGTCTGATATTACTCTGCCTTCTCCATTAGCCTGTGGGCATAGTGGCTATCAGTGTCAAAGTGTCTTATGGCCAGTGGGATGGATTCAGAGGAGCATCGGTTTCGGGCATGAAGCAGGATTTTATCTTGGTAAGAAGGACCACAACGAGATCAAGAAAAGGAGATAAGAAGCAGGCAGTGGGGTTGCAATGTATACAAATCAATAATGGAAAAGGTGAAGAGAGAGATGTAGGGACTCCAATTTGACAGTGGTGGGTGTAAAGGAGATGATCATTGCTGCGGCTGTGGTCCAGCTGTGTGCATATGTGTGTGCATTCTGATCCAGAATGTGGAACTGCCTTTGGTGTACTATATGGGATAGATATAGTATCCATTCTCAGATATCAGCTTCAGTCATCGCCATTCGCGACTGAGGTCTCCATGGCATATACATGAACCATGGATTGGGAATTTGAACAGGAGATTTGGACGAGAGATGCATAATGTAGGAGAGGTGGGATAAACGTCAAGTTGGGCACCATTTTGAATTGGTCATCTTCTCAACTTGCTCTACTTGTTGTTATTAGATTAGCCAACCCAGTTTAAAGCAACTCTATACATAGAAAACTATGTTAAGATCAGAGTATTCTTTTGATATAAGAAAAAGGTGGCTCCTCTACTTTTTATCATTATATAATATACATAAATCTCTTTGTTTAGTTAGCAGTAGTTTGGGTTTTTCTTGTAACCTGAAAAGATACAGAAGCATATCATATCAAGTTTCTAGATTCATCCTTCCATTAGAATCTACTTAGATCTGATCTTTCTCCCTCCCTCTCCCTCTCTCTCTGCTGTAAATTCATGGCTTACAGAATATGGTATCAGATTCGTAAAGAGAACGATGCGCCAATGGAAGAACAATGATTCATTTATTGTATTCAGGTACTGAGCAAAGGAGAAGATGAACAGTGAAGTGGGGTTTCCTAACCATGCTATCTCTGCCTTGGATTACTGGCCTGCCTCTCTCTGTGTCTCAGTTTAAATCTACCTCCGTGGAACAATCTCTTCGGATCTCTGAAACCCGAGACAGAAATAAGCACCAAAGAAAGTTTTGTAGCATCGAAGAAGGATGGAACAGAATCCAAGAAGTGTATGGATCTTTATAGCGACACATATCATCACCTCATGAAGAAGCTTGAAGAAACAAGAGCTAACAAAGGAAAGCGGTAGACGACCATGTTCAGAGCTCATTCGAGCCCTCGGAGATGCTGTCCAAGTGCGGCCGCCACACGCCAACTCTTCCTCGCCGCTTGTCCCGATAGCTCGACGCCTTCTCCGAGAGGATCTCCGACAGATACCGCTCGTTGAGGAGAAGCATGGTCTTATCAGCTGTGGCCGCATTGCTCTCTCCTTCTTTCTTTCTCCTCCTCCTCCTCCCCCTCGCCGCTGTCGTCTCCTTCACCGGCGCCGACGACGCGACAGGCACGAGGAAGTATATCTTCCCCCTCTGGAGCTCGGCGTCCGGCGGCAGTATCACCGCCTTGGGGGCTTCGACGCCGTCCAGCGATGCCGAGGGCGGCTTGCGGAGGACGTGCTTTGGATAAGCCTGCATGATGTCGCCTGCGCTGACCGTGCCGCTGATCTCCTCCACCCGGCCGCTCGCGTGCACGATGCGGATCACGTCGAGCGCGCCGCAGGGGAGGATGCAGGAGATGCAGCACCTTATGGTGTCCCTCATCATCCTATTTATCTCTCTGCATGTACTCCTCCCTCGTTTTCCGCTTCCCCTCTCTCGGTCTGGCTAAGATCCAGTACAGTGGACAGTAGAGGAAGGAGACTAGGAGGAGAAAGAAATGGCCGAGGAAAAAGGTATCCTTAAAAGAGGGAATGAGTGTCCTCAACTCTCCTCCATCCTTTTCCAGGTTTTATAGTTGGAAAGACGAGCTTTTGCCAAACATGATGGCGTGCTCTTTTGCTTTTGGTGGAGGAAGGATAGAGTGTGAATGTGAGGAGATGGGCATCAATCTCTCTCAACCAGGTCACAACACTGTGGACCCATAGAAAGTTCATGTCACATTGAGTTGATTCGAAAGGACAATCAAGCTCAGTCGACCACCATCCCATCTCGACTGCGTCTTCCTCTGAAAGATGGCAGCGAGAGAACGCGTGCAAACGTGTCGATCGATGGACTGACTCGCGCCGACGGATGGAGCTACGCTCGGCCGACTCAGTCGTCACGACAAGCCGCGCTTGTGGTGTCGCTCACATGGATGTGGCGAAACCAATGCATCTGAACCAATTAACAAACGCGGCAAGTGATGGGTGGAGGTGATGGTTTGTGAATCATGAGGAGTTTGCCAACTCTCTCGGCAACATCCATCATGATGAAGAAGATTCTAAATTCCATGATGAAGCAAAGGAACAGCTATTGGAGCACTGAAATCTCTGAGTCCTTTTTAATGGACTCCATGAATCGAAAGCCGATAGTACATGATGGACGAACAGTAGTGCACAAGTAGTACTACTTTAGATGGTATTTTATTGCTTCCATGCTAATGCTTCTGATCCACCAAGAAGATTCTATATAAAAATCCCATCGTCTCCCTCTTCCGAGATATATTATACGCGTTCTACTAGACGCATGTCCATTGCTTGTTCGTCAACACCAGTTAAATCGATGGCAATAATGGAGAATTAATATCATTAGTTCTTCCAAACAATTGGCGTTCTATTCATGCATCATCTTCGATCTATATTTACCGTATAATTAATTACCCATCTATGTATATGTTGCATTATCCTCATAGATTTTTGATGCATCTCCCAGTGGCTGAAGCGAAGAGTCTTGGACAGATTTGCTTGGCATGCTTCGAAGCACAGCCTGTCATCATCATTTATTTATTGCTGTCTCAATATAATCGAGCCTAACTCTGTGACCATAAAGTATGGAGGAATTGAAGGAACAGATGTCTCAGACTCGAAATGCTCGACTCTCGTATTTGAATCCTCCTCGTTTTCATTGAAATATGTTTCTTTTCTTGATATTAATCCTCTAAGTTGCTTTCACTGCAGCACTCTTCCTCGATTCCTTGCATGCAAGCTTCGTCTTTCAAACACGACACTAAATCCCCAGATAATATTTGTCCATGCTTTTTGATGTTTCGGATGTGATGCTCTTTGAAAAGATGGTACTGGTGGCAACTCAGGTTCATTTCTTCCCTTTTTCACCTTTGCCTGTGGGGACTTCAATTGTTCTTCTTCTCCATGATTGTTGATAGCCTCAAAATTGATTGATAGACGCCACTGATCGCACAGAAACAAAGGCTGGTGGGGAGCAGCAGCTTCCTGTTCTTGTCCTCCCTGAGCTGCTGCAAGTCAGCACTGCAGGCAAACCGTGATCTTGCTTGCAGAACTCGGGGTCACCATTGACGGTGTAAGACAAGTATCTACCGATATGTCCACAAGAATCCGAGAAAAGTTGTTGCCGTGTTTTATAGTTCATAATGTTCCGGCATCTCCATGATTACATTGCATTTATGGATGAACTTGCAGCTTCATATCTGTTTTAGATATGGACATATCTCTCGCAAGCAACCCATCGCATTATTTCTTCTTTGTCATCAACCTCCAGCGATCAAGACTGTGACAGAGCATTACGTACTACGCGGGTAAGGATCCATTTCGGCGATGAGATGTCTGGCTTCCTTACTCCTGTGTGATTTGGCGGAACAGCATCCGGTGATCGTGCTTTGAGATTTGTACGGTAGAGGAGCCGTCGAAGAAAGGGCTAATCCAATAGAATCTGGACCAGCCCGGAATGTTTGATTTGGGCTGCAAGCATGGAGATCAGATGAACGAGTAATCGTCGACGGTCAACGGTAACCTCGTGCTCACGACCGACGGGAATAACTGCGCCATGACTTCGAATGGATGCCGAAGTCAAAGTTTCCTCCTACCGTTGACGCGCTTCCAGGTGATTTCTAAGTTCACGTGCCGTCTCTTCGCAGGATCTGGTGGCCCCCAGTGGTCTGGGACGTGGCCGTTGGAACGACGAAACACTGTGAAGGTCGTCTGTCTTCGACACGATCATTAGGCCTTTACGAACAGGACCACGAACACAGTAACAGTATAATCCTTGCACCCTTTCCACCCGCGACTATTGTTCTGTCCCGGCGACTGACTCACATCAATATAAGAGGTGACCAAAAGGAGACTATCCTGCGTCGCTTCCTTCCCGTTGTTTGTTCCTTTTAAAGTGTAGTTGAGATTAGAAAGAATCTTTTATCTCGTCGATTGCTCTCCATCCTTCCATCTGAGGAGTAATCTGGTGCTAGTTTTGCCAGGATTTGATCGAATAAAGGATTAGGGTTTGGAGACTGATCGATGCGCAGAGATTCTGAAGAATCGGATGGAGGACAAGAGGATCGACTTGGATGCACCGCTCCTTTCCGTCCGGAGATTCTCCGCCGGGGCGGCTTCTCCGGCTCCGTCCGTGTCCAAAGAGGAGGAGGGCGATCAACGCCCTCCACCACCGAGGAGGTCGTCTCTGCCTTTCTACAAGTCGGACTTGAAGTCGGGCCCGGTTCGCGTCCCCGGCGTCGTCCCCTTCGTTTGGGAGCAGACGCCTGGCCAGCCCAAGGAGGGGTCCGTTCCCACCTCCGATGGGAAGCCTCTGCCGTCGCCGAAGCCGCCTCCTGGTAAGATTATGAAACAAAAGGAGCCGGATTTATCGCGAGCCGCTGCGGCGCCGGCTGCGAAGCTTGGCAATAGCGTCCGGACTCGTAAAGCCGTGGCCTTTGCCTGCGATGGTGGCACTGCCATATCCCCCGAGTCGCCAGTAGACGCTCCTAAGAATGTAGAAGTTCGGAAGGTACAAAATAAGCTGATACAGGAGTCGGTTCCAGCGGCAAACAACCTAGAAGAAGAAGGAGGAGGAGGAGATGACGACGACGATGCCTTCTCCGATGCGCTCGATACACTATCACGGGCGGAGTCCTTGTTAATGAATTGCAGCGTCAGTGGCGTCAGTGGAATGCCAGATGCGGCCAAGCTCTCTGGAAGCGTTCCAAAGGATCCCCAGGTCCGGGACTTCATGATGGAGAGGTTCTTGCCCGCTGCCCAGGCGATGGTTTGCGAGTCGACGCAATACACCTTCAGGAAAGCCGCTGGGCCTCCACGTGAAGCCACCAAACCCGTCGAAAGGGTTGCAATCAATGATCGCAATAGGAGGCCACCGGCTCCTATGCGTTATCATAACATGCCTGATTACTTTCCGCAGTATGCCAAGGAGCTTGAGGAAGGGGATAGCAATGATGACGATGAGGATGACGAGTACTCTGATGATGATGCTGGTCATTTGCCATCGAAAGCTTGTGGATTGCTTTCCAGGTTTTGTCTAAAGAATTCCTTTTGTCTGCTAAATCCAGTCTCAGGAATTAAGGATCGCGGACGCCTGCCTCCACCACCAAGGGGAAGAACTAGAGACCCTCAGTTATGGAACTTGCATCGCTTATCTCTTGGTCCAGTTGAAGATGAGGTAATTAGTAGTGTAGATGTTGGTTTATCTGAATATTTGCTTTTGCTTTGGCCTGTTATTGATCACTGTGATTTTGCAACCTTCTTGTTTAGAATTCGTGGGAAACTGTTTATAGGCACAAATTAGGGCAGAATTCTCGACCTCAAGTGGCAGAGGTGAGTAAATTGAGGAGTGAATCTGATTCCCAGACAGCTGATGGTTCAGTGACTGGAGGGTCATCTCCTTATCACAATGAAGGGAATGGTTTTCTTGGAAATCCAAGAAGCAAGAGTAGCAAGACTGATGATTCTGATGCGGGTGATAAAGACATCAACCGTTGGGAAACAAATCATAGCAGCAGCCGAATTGGTTTGGGCTCCATGAGCCCTGCTCTGGAGAAGACACTTTATATTGATTTAGCGAATAGGCCAGGATCTTCGGATTCGAAGTCGAGTTCTTTCAACACTGTCAAAGATACAAGGGGTATGCTGAGCTCTGGTGAGGTTGGTACAGGAAGTAGGAGGATGGAAGAGAGTTTCGTTGCTGAAGCTTGTGAAGTCTCCGAGGCTGCTGAGCCTGTTCTACCTTTCTCTTCAGAGAAACCAAATCATATGGATATGAATGGTGATGATAACCATAAGCATGTTGATAATGATAGAGATCCACTGCATCTGAGCGACGACGACCTCAATCCTTTGCGGTCACTTCTGCCTCCACCATTGCCCAAGTCACCATCTGAGTCCTGGCTCTCTCGCACTTTGCCTTCTGTGAGGTCTAAAAATCCAGCTCCCCGGTCATTGCTAGGTGTTCAACCTCTGCCTAGGAAACAAACCTTGCAGGCATCTTCCGCTGATATTAAACAGGAAACAAGTGTTGAACCATCAGAACCACTACATCGCCAGATTCTGTTTGCTGAGGTATTCCTTCCTTTCTGGAACCAATTATGGCTATGAGATGTTGTAATTGCCTAACCAGTCCGTTCTTGTATCCTTCTATAGGTGCTGGCAAAATATGAATCTCCAAAGTCAGAAAATTGAGGTGCAAGCTTTTGGTTTCTCGCATAGGCGCATCGATATGCCACCTTCTAGTTGCAATTCCAAAAGGACAGGAAAAGGTACATAGAAACCAATTTTGACTTGGATTCTACATTCCTCTGTACTTAACTACTATAATTGTAAATGGCATGAAATTATTTTGTTTCCATCTGGTAATCTCAAATGCACTTGCCAGGTTACTTTTCCACTTCATAGCTACTCAGCAATATAAAATTTCTTGTACAATTATGAATACATTTCAAGGAAAGGATAACTCGACACATTGTCTAAGTTAATCAAAGCTGTAACACAAATACAATATGCGTGTCATTGTAATCCAGTTACAACTCTCAACTGGGTGTATGTAATATACTAGAAGATGTATATGTTTCCATGCATCGATTGTGTATTTATGAATCATTTTGTTGAAATGCATATGATTCCTTTTTTCACCTTTGGCAGAAAATGTTTTCATAACATGAGTTACTGAGAAGTTCAGATATCTTTTTGCTGGCAGTATTGAAGATTAGAAATGTTTTAGCTGATATTCACATACCATTTGCAAATAATCATAAACAAGCCTTGATTTTGCCTAGCAATAGAAACAAAATCACTTTACTATGTGAACCACCTCCATCTCTGTAGAAATCCATTCACAAAGGGCATTCGTAAACTGATGGAATTCACACCCATATTCTCAAAGGCAATTTGACCACAAACACATCCTTCTTTAGGATGTGTTGTTAGATTTCTTGTATGAACTGCTTCTTGTTGTATCTTCCTTGGATAAAAGCACTCTTTGCTGTGCAGATCTGCAAATAAGGTCTAACCAGCCTGGAATGCTTCTGGTGGACTGGTCGATCGTAGTTAGTAGATTAGATGATCTAATCTGTGATTGAAAAAGGCTGATCATCTATGGGATAAATTCATATTATCCGTCTTTTTGACACTTTAAAGGATCCTTATTGTAGAGTTACTCAGATACATCTGTGTACAAGAGGGCAAATAAAGGTAAGCACATAAGATGGAAGATGATGGCTTCTGCAGTTAGGAAGTGGTGATTAGGATAAACACAGTTACAGTAATAACCAGTATACAGTAGCTGATTTCTAGATAGAAGCAGCATTAACTACATGTAAGTAGCAAAAGAAATGCTCATCAAAAGAGATGATGAGTTCTTGAGGTTGGAGGAAGACATGATTAGGAAGGCATTCTGAGTAAATGTTAGATTTAGAAGCAGCGCGATTAGAAGGATGCATGCCAATTTCAGATTATAATGCAGTGTCATAGCAGCTTGTATCTTCTTGTGATCCTTTCAAGAAAAACTCTTCATGTCATTCAAATGATATCTACACAGATCTCTTTGTTTTCTTGCAAGCAGCAACATCACAAGTAGACCTCAACTAATGGCTCAAAATAAAACCACCAGGCCATGATAGACAACCACAAAGATCAACACATTGTAACATCATAATATTAGTAGTTTCCCAAAGCTTTTGTAGTTCTTCATCATGTAGAGCTGGATACGAGGTCACTGGCGGTAGCTCCCCCAATGGCTTCGAGCATGAAGTGGCTCACGAAGAACGGTCTAGTGCACCAAGTTAGAATTAACCGGTCATCGACCGAAAAAAACACCTCCCCAGCTCCTCTGTCAATTGCTGAACTCGCAACCAAAGCTTTGAGATTGAAGGCCTCAAATAAACCTGTAGAATAGAAGGAAGTTGTTAAATAGTCAGTAGAGTATTATTTAAGGGGAAAAATTTTGGGGAAAAAGGGCAAAGCATAATATTGAATGTTGTAGTTTAAGATGGGGATTAGTCGGAACCAAATCAACTTATCAAAGAGGTTAGAACTCAATAGCTGCTATGACCATTTCAACTACCCGCATGCCAGATGTGCAATTATTTCTTCTTTGTCATCAACCTCCAGCGATCAAGACTGTGACAGAGCATTACGTACTACGCGGGTAAGGATCCATTTGTGGTTGTGAAGGAATGAGTCATTATCTCAACTACTAAAGAAATAAAAAAATAAATTATTCTTGATTTAGGATGTGGACTTCCTGAAAAATCACAATGCAAAAAAATAATTTAATTGTATATTCTTCAAATTCTACCAAAAGTAAAATTATAGATCCTCATTATATCAGTTAAGGTAAGCATGCACAAACTAAGATTCTTCTTCTTATTATCAGACTAATTACATAGTTTCTATACTTAAAAAATTTATATTAAGATTCTTATAATTTTAAAAGTGAAATAAATAATTTTATTTATCTTAACATGGTCATCTGCATTGACGAAAAATATAACACGTAAAACTACGTGTTAGATCGAAGCAATATATAAAAGAATAATTTCTACATCATTGGGATGTTGAAATTATTTTTTTTATAAAATAATTAGAAATAAAGAAAATATTGAAATTATCTAGTGTGTGGTATTTGTGATTTCTATTAGAACAAATGAGATTATTTATTTTATTTTTAGAACTATAAAAAATTTAATTAATTTTTTTTTAGAATCGAGATCGTGATGTTAATAGGGTTTAAGTGCAAAGGGTAATATGTAATAGCCCTCTTATTATCTAATCAATAATATTAAACATTGATTAAAGGTAAGAGAAAAAAAATAATAGTAACAGCATAAATGAAAAACCAGTGAAATAGCATAAATGTTGTGGTATTGGAAGAAGTTATTTACCTTCTTACCTTCTTTCTTGTCTCTGTTAATGAGCGGTTTTAAGTGCGTGCGCCGACTCGTACACGAGATGGCGCAACCCAGGCTTCAGCTCCTCGTTGCAGAACTCTTCGTACGCCCCTCGGTCTCCTGCTTTCTTCTTCACCTCAACCACCACGATCGATGGTGTGAGCTCGAATATCTCTGCTGCAATGGTCAACGGCCCCTTCTCCCCTTCTCTCGTGCCTTCCAAGCTCACTCGACAATCCTTTCGCCTCACCGTGAAACTCACCACCTTGGCGATCTCCTCCAACTTTGATACAATCGCTGATACAGGCTCCTTGGAGAGGAACCTGGTCTCCTCTCCGGCCTCTTCGAACAACCCTGAGAGGTCAAACCCCCTGGAGAAGGAGATGATATCAAACGCATTGAGACTTGGCGGCCTCGGCATCTGCCGCATCCGCTTCGCAGCGGACGATGATGCGGAGCAGGAGACAGCCGAGCAGTCGGAGTCGGTTTCCCACACGGATGTCGCGTCGCCCTGGAGTTCATCGTTGGTCTGGAGTTGGGGATTGTCCTGGGTATGTAATTGGTCGTCATCCTTATAGAATTGGACATGGCGGAAGCCTTTCTTGAACCACTTGTTCTCCATGATCTCCGAGATGGTGATCCGGGTCCGGGAATTGGTGTCAAGAAGGCGGTGTAGAAGCCGCTCGAGGTCCGGCGAGAACCACCTCGGGCACCTGAAATCGCCCTTGTAGATCTTTCTGTACATCGTGACGATATTTTGGTCTTGGAACGGGAGGTAGCCGGCCATCAACACGAAGAGTATGACGCCGCAGGACCAAATGTCGACCTTGGCGCCGTCGTAGCCCCTCCTCGACAGCACTTCGGGCGCGACATACGCCGGCGTCCCGCATAAGGTGTGCAGCAGGCCGTCGCCGCCGCGGCTCTGCTCCGCCACCGCCGAGAGCCCAAAGTCGGAGACCTTGAGGTCGCCGTTCTCGTCGACCAGCAGATTCTCGGGCTTGAGGTCGCGGTGGAAGACGCCGCGGGCGTGGCAGAAGGCCACAGCGGAGATGAGCTGCTGGAAATAGCGGCGGGCGGTGTCTTCCCGGAGCCGGCCCTTGGCGACGCGGGAGAAGAGCTCACCGCCGCGGACGTACTCCATGACGAAGTAGATCTTAGTCTTGGTGGCCATGACCTCGAAAAGTTGCACGATGTAGGGGTGGCGGACACGGCGGAGGATGGCGATCTCGCGCTTGATGTGCGCGACGAGCCCGCACTTGATGATCTTCTCCTTATCCAGGGCCTTGATCGCCACAAGCTCGTCGGTGCTGATGTTGCGGGCGACGTAGACCTTGGCGAAGGTCCCGGCGCCAAGGAGCTTCCCCACCTCAAAGCGACCGAGCAGGAGTTTGGGCTCCTTCTTCCTCTTCTCCGGATGGTTCCCCGCAGCCGTCGAGGACGCCGCCATGGAAAACGAGGGCTCTGCGATTCCAACGACGACCTCGAAGCTGTCGAGGAGCAGCTCCGTCCCTTTCTCCTCTTCTTCTCCTTGAGAACCCGAACTGAGAAAGGGGCTTTGGAGAAGAAAGCAAATGGAACAAGAGAATGGGAAAAGGTGGGGATTTGTGGTGGTATATATAGAGGCGATGGCGGTAGAGTAGACAGCGAGAAGAAGACGAAGAAGAAATGGCCGATTTGAAACGGAAGGGACGGAAAAGAAGTCGTCAACGAGTGCCACTCTTTAGGACACACCACCGCCTTAACAGTTCTTTAACGATACCCTCGCTCCACCCCCTATATTCTTGTGTACAAACACACAGTTGGCTCCACCTTCTTCAGCGAGTGGAGAATTGGTATATTGTGCGGGTGCTATTTCATCGACGGGAACAAGTAACCAATAAGGCTCGGAAGAACGAGGCTTGAGTAGCGACCTACGACACGACACCCCCCAGTTAGAGGTGATTCGTGCCTCAAGTTGTCCTATTACGGCTCGCGACCCCATGGCCCTGAAGCACGACGAGCGGCGCAACGAGTGAGTGGATGCCAACGCATGCCAAACTCGGTGCGTTAAGAGCGAGTTGGTCGTCTAAATATTGTTCTTCCTACATATTTTATTTGAATGTCGAGAAAATAGATAGATATTTATCATAGTGTATATTGCATTATAATAAGCATCGATCTGACCGACAAATAGTTGCCATTATGGATAGTGCATTATAATAGACATCCATTTACGAACTTACGGAATTTAATTTCCACTAGTAGAATTGATTATCGAATTTTACTGAATTAATATATCCTTTCCTTTTTGTAGATTGGGATTTTGAATTGATGTACGATTCAGAAACCTTTACGTCGCTCTGAGACTGATTAGGTGTCTCCACTTCATTTTGGATAAGGTGAAATACACAGTCAAATACACGTCATTTACGTATTTTTAGTAGTTGAATACGTGGACACCACAAGGATAGATCAGAATAAATAAATAAATAAATCGATTTTGGATATTATATTTTTGTCTTACGAGGCGTGCATGATCTCGTCGTTCGTAGATGGCCATTGGACGATTGACATTTAGACTTAGCTTGCAATGGAGCTTCTGGCTTTGACTTTATTTTAGGGTTCTTTTAAAATACGTTTTGACTAAGAAATGCCTCTTCTTAGATCCAACATTATTTCGTATAAACTATTTTATAATAATTCATTGTTAAGATTAAAGCTAACTTAGGCATTTCAAAGAACACTTGAATTTATGAGTTGTGACTCATAAATGAAATAATCTAAAATCATCTACCAACTCTGAATACAAGTAATATAATTCATCTCGCCCAAATTCCTAACCATTCTTACTCACATCTGCCAACACAATCAAATGGTAGGATGCATGGTGCTTCTCTGGTTTTTGAATTTATTGTGTGACTTCTGCAATTAAGGATTTTTCTTTGTGGCTTGTTGGATGATTTACTTCAAAAAAAAAAAAAGAATTCTTTTTTCCTTTTTCTTTTTTTCCCCCAAAGACAGACATATTATTTCTTTGAAAATTGATATTTTTTAATTTGAATAATATCTAAAATACCCCAAGGCTCTTGTCCTTATTTTTTTTTCATAAATTTTGAATTTTTATAATGTTTTCATTTGATTCATTTATAATGTTTTTTCAAGAGCATCCCAACATTTTTATTGAGGTAAATTTATGATATCATATTTTTAGGCTTATAATAGATTTCATTGAGGCTATGATTCCATTTAGATCATTTATAATATTTTTGGGTATGTTTTATAGAGTTTTTATTGTGATTGTCAAAGTATTATAACGAACTAAGTTTTTATTCCTATTTAGGTTATGTTATTCCTAAGTATTATAAATATTTATTTGAATCTTAGTATGATATATTAAATGCCTTTTAGTGTGTTTTGATCCCATTTAGCTCATTTTTAATGTTTTCCTTATTACGTATTTTGGTTGAGGTGCTAAAAACATGGTAAAACTATTGAAAAACATGATAAGTGATATCATATTTTTCACTTTGATTGTTATGGTCAAATCATTATGATACTAAATTTTTAAGCTCAAAGTTGATTTTATTATGGCTATGAGCTTATTTGTTTCATTTATAATATTTTTAAGTAGACTTTATAGTATTTTGTTACAGTGACTAAGACGCTACAAAGTCAAAATTCTACGATAGATCAAAAACATTATAACAAGCCATAACACTCTAACAAATCAAAAAGATACTACTATGATGGGTGAGAAGTAATTTAGATATTACTCAAAATAAAGAATATTAATTGGAAAAAACAAAAAACAGGAATGCCTTTTGAGAAAAATAAACAAGAAAGATTTTTTTTAAAGAAAAGTCTCTTATATTATTTCAAATGAAGTACAATATATATATATATATATATATATATATATATATATATATATATAATGGATAAATTATTAAAAAAATCTCTCTTTTTGGACCTTTTCTATGAAGAAGGTGCTTTTATTCTCAATTTTTTCAAATGATATTCTTGATATTTATATTCTCATAAATGTCTCTTGTAACTACTTATTGTGAGGCCTCGTTACCTTTTGTCATGTTGGTCGCTCGATCATCCTCATGTATCGTGATCATCGACCTTGGTGCTTTTCACCCATTACCTTTTGCCATTCTTTCTTCATCGCTTTTGACCATCATTTTTATTATGCCAGGTTTTCAAATTAATATACAAGATTAAAACTTATTTGAAAAAAAAATTATAAGATTTTCAAATTAGTATACAGGACCAAATCCTATACGAAATGGAAAAGAAAAAGACAAAAATTGTAATTATAAATTTCCGACCTGCCAGATTCGAACCAGCGACCTAAGGATTTATCTGAACAACTACAGTCCTCCGCTCTGCCAACTGAGCTAAGGTCGGTGATGTAATTAAGTTGATCATTAGTATTGAACATTTCAGAATCACAACTACTGATAATTGCCACAACTACTAATAATTGCCAGTATATTGCTTGCATTATATCATTTGCTTTTAAGTGGGAAACTAACTGGCTTTATTTGATAGCATATGAACTCGTTAGGCTCCGCAGCAGAGTGCCATCCTGGAAATAGACAGTTTGGTATCAGGATTAGGAGCATACCATGTTAGCTGAAGCCTCAAGGACCGGAGGAAGAATAATGGACACCTCACTCTTTACAGCAGTGATTGTTCAACAAATTAATTATAGAGTAATGCATTTGCTTTTGGGGGTTATGAGGAAATTTGAATCTGCATCTTCTGTCTATTTAGAGGTCAGTTGGACGTCGAGTGTGTTTCTCAGAGCTTACAAGGGTTCCAAGAGTTACATATTGGTCCATTCTTGATTATTGTTATTGGATATTGGTATTGGAGAAAAGATCGTAATTGACATTTGATTATTACTGCAAATAATCCTTTGTGATTGTGAGAATGAAAAGGAAAAAGATACATCAGTTTCTTGGACTTGGCATTGCTAATGTATGATTTATAATGTTTTCATTTGATTCATTTATAATGTTTTTTCAAGAGCATCACAACATTTTTATTGAGGTAAGTTTATGATATCATATTTTTAGGCTTATAATAGATTTCATTGAGGCTATGATTCCATTTAGATCATTTATAGTATTTTTGGGTATGTTTTATAGAGTTTTTATTGTGATTGTCAAAATATTATAACGAACTAAGTTTTTATTCCTATTTAGGTTATGTTAACCCTAAGTATTATAAATATTTATTTGAATCTTAGTATGATTTATTAAATGCCTTTTAGTGTGTTTTGATCCCATTTAACTCATTTTTAATGTTTTCCTTATTACGTATTTTGGTTGAGGTGCTAAAAACATGGTAAAACTATTGAAAAATATGATAAGTGATATCATATTTTTCACTTTAATTGTTATGGCTCAAATCATTATGATACTAAAATTTTAAACTCAGAGTTGATTTTATTATGGTTATGAGCTTATTTGTATCATTTATAACATTTTTAAGTAGACTTTATAGTATTTTGTTACGGTGGCCAAGACGCTACAAAGTCAAAATTCTACAATAGATCAAAAACATTATAACAAGCCATAACACTATAACAAATCAAAAAGATACTACTGGGTGAGAAGTAATTTAGATATTACTCTAAATAAAGAATACTAATTGGAAAAAACAAAAATAAGAAATGCCTTTTGAGAAAAATAAACAAGAAAGAATTTTTTTAAAGAAAAGTCTCTTATATTATTTATAATGAAGTACAATATTATATATATATATATAATATATTCTTTAAAAAAAATAAGAATATATAAAATGGATAAATTCTTTAAAAATCTTTATTTTTGGATTTTTTGTACGAAGGTGCCCTTATTCTCAAATGATATTCTCGATATTTATATTCTCATGAATATCTCGTGTCATTATCGACCACTTATCATGAAGCCGTATTACCTTTTGTCATGTTTGTCACTGGATCATCCCCAGGCATCGTGATCATCGACCTTGGTGCTTTTCACCCATTGTCCTTTGCCCTTCTTTCTTCATCGCTTTTGACCATCATTTTCATTATGCGAGGTTTTCAAATTAATATACAAGATTAAATCTTATTTTAAAAAAAATTATAAGATTTTCAATGCATGGTTTATATATAAATTAAATAAACGTAGAAAAATATGTAAATCTAATTATAAGATTTTCAAATTATTATACAGGACCAAATCCTATACGAAATGGAAAAGAAAAAGACAAAAATTATAAATAACTTTCCGACCTGCCGGATTCGAACCAGCGACCTAAGGATTTATCTGGACGACTACAGTCCTCCGCTCTGCCAACTGAGCTAAGGTCGGTGATGTATTTAGGTTGCACATTAATCTAATAGTTATTTAATTATTCGATCGAGCTTTCCACCCACGGTTAAACTTGCACGAACGTTTGAGCCCGAACTAAACCGAATTAATTTTCCGGTTCGGTTCGATTTAAGTAAGGTAGCTCGAATCTGAATCGATTCAGACCAGAGGTGCGGGTCGGCGGGCGAGCTTGCGATGCGATCGGAAGAAACAATTGATCCGGGTTTCAAACATGGAGGCCTCGACGGCGATAAAAGGGATCCGCAGCCTTGAGATGTAGGCCTTCGGACCTTTATTGGATTGGTTCATAACAATATTTGGGCTCTTTCTGAAACCCATTGATGCCCCACTCGTTCCCTGTAATTGAGAAATCCGTCATCCTTTGTAGACCGCTTCATCTCTCAACCTCCGGCGATGATAGAGCCGGAGAACATGAGCATTGCCAATGTCGTCGATGGGGATGACGTGGAAGAACCTGTGGCGGAGTCTCGAGGTTGACGCTGGCGGTGTCACAATGGACGGCGGGCTGGGGCATGTTCTCAGGGCTGCGGACGGTGATCAAGGTCGTGCCTGGTTTCGCAGTGGAAGTTTGGACCTCGACCCTTGCCAGGTAAACCTTCATCACTGCTCTTCTTTTGATGATTTCTTTCGTGCAATCTGACTTAGAATTTGCCTTTTTTTTCTTGTGAATTTGGTCACTGTTTCTTTGAGAGAATATATTGTGGAAAGCTTTAGTTTGTTAAAAGGACAAAGAATGATCCATATGGCAGTGAAAGATAAGCGGAAACTGTTAGGAAGAATACGGATACCTTTTGATCTATGGAAAAAAAAAAGAGAAAAACGATTATTACTCAAAATTCTATTTATTTTTATTTGAAAAATATCAAAAATGCCCATAGGCTCTTGTCCTTATTTTTTTCATAAATTTTGAATTTTATAATGTTTTCATTTGATTCATTTATAATGTTTTTTCAAGAGCATCACAACATTTTTATTGAGGTAAATTTTTATGATATCATATTTTTAGGCTTATAATAGATTTCATTGAGGCTATGATTCCATTTAGATCATTTATAGTATTTTTGGGTATGTTTTATATAGTTTTTATTGTGATTGTCAAAATATTATAACGAACTAAGTTTTTATTCCTATTTAGGTTATGTTATTCCTAAGTATTATAAATATTTATTTGAATCTTAGTATGATATATTAAATGCCTTTTAGTGTGTTTTGATCCCATTTAACTCATTTTTAATGTTTTCCTTATTACGTATTTTGGTTGAGGTGCTAAAAACATGGTAAAACTATTGAAAAACATGATAAGTGATATCATATTTTTCACTTTGATTGTTATGGCTCAAATCATTATGATACTAAATTTTTAAGCTCAAAGTTGATTTTATTATGGTTATGAGATTATTTGTATCATTTATAATATTTTTAAGTAGACTTTATAGTATTTTGTTTCGGTGGCCAAGACGCTACAAAGTCAAAATTCTACGATAGATCAAAAACATTATAACAAGCCATAACAAATCAAAAAGATACCACTATGATAGGTGAGAAGTAATTTAGATATTACTCAAAATAAAGAATGCTAATTGGAAAAAACAAAAATAGGAATGCCTTTTGAGAAAAATAAACAAGAAAGATTTTTTTTTAAAGAAAAGTACTCTTATATTATTTCAAATGAGTACAATATATATATATATATATATATATATA